TCCGCGCCCTGCGGGGAGCGCCTGCCACTTGCGTCGGCGTGGGGCGTCCCACGGACTCCAGATGCCTCCACAACCTCGTTGTGCATCCCATGCCCATTATTAACAGTACCTCATCGTGCATCCCAATGCTCCACGACCTCTCCTGGGCTCAGGCATCTCTTCCCCGATGTGGGTTTCTCCACGGGCCACGAGTGGGTCTCTGCTCCGCCGAGTGCACCCTGGTTGCAGAGGGGCCGCCTGCCATCTTCACACCGATTTGCAAGGGAAAACTTCAGCTCCAGCACACCTCCTCCTGCTCCATCTTGACTGACCTGGTCGTTGTGGTTGTTTTCTCTTAGATCTTAATCCTCTCTGAGGGAGCTCGGCCCGGCGGGCACCCCGGGAGCAGGGTGCTTCCCGAGTCCCCCATGCGGCTCCCCTGGCGTCATCTTGAGCACGTGGCGCCGGCCCGGGCCCGGGCCCGAGCAGCCACCTGGCCGGGAGCCGGGAGCGAGGGCAGTGCCCTCCTGCCCGCTCCTCGTTCCTGGGCAAAAAAGCCCAAAAAAACCTGCACCTTTGTCTCAACTTAAATAGGGAAATTCGCAGAGGCACCAATTTGGCTCAACCCCCCGAGGGCGATGGGACTCAGATCTGGTGGCACAGGGAGCAAATCCCCTCTCCTGCCACCAGAACACCCCCCCACATCAAACTATCACAGGTGCATATCTTAAATAATCTGTTTTGGTTGCTAATTTATTTTCATGATATGATTCGATATAAACTTGATTACTGCTACCTTTCTGGTGTTAACGTATATTAAAAAAGGAATAGCTTTTCTTATATTCTGCTAAAGAAATGATGCAAATGCCATTTAGCACCACTGTGTGGTTAGTACTGTAATAGCTTCCTCTTTCTCTCAAAATAAAGGAAAACAGTATCAGTAAAAACAGGAAAATGTTTTACTGCGTACAGTTCTCTATAAGAGTAAGAAATACTACTGTATTAGGAATGGAAGGATCAACTTCTTTCCTTGTCTAGTGCTATTTAATACAGTATTTGTTGAGTTTTATGTTTATATACTATGTGTCGTCCTACCTGAATGCTTCAGCAAACTACGGTGAGTGTAAGCTACAAGAAGCAAGGTGACAGAAGGGACCATCTCCTTCGTACTGGAGTGGCCTCAGGTAGAGGAAGGAGAAGTGCTCCCAGGTATGGAGGGAAAATGTGTCAGCTGCAGGCAAGCTCCTGTCTTCATTGAAACTGATAAGATATCTTTAATGACCATACCCAACATAAAAGGAAAACAGAAGGATCCAAACTTCACTGAGGGCACTGAATTTATTAAAATGAGGATAAGTTTACAGGATAAGCTCATTGTATGCAGAAGCCTCTTAATTGACTCATCTCAAGCTAATCCAGAAATTGAGCTGAGTTCAAGCACTGAGTCAGGCTCAGACATTACTTTACTAATTTATGCAGTGCCATTAAAACCCAGGAAAAAAAACACAACTGTTTCTAG